CCTCAACCCATCCCCTTTGTTCCCTTTACCTTCTCTGCAATTGCCCCCATTGTTGTTGTGGGTTGCACAAACCACCCAGCACCCTCGGAATGAAGTTGTAGTTGAGATATGTAATGATCTATCCTTAATAATTACTCCGTACAAAGCAAAGGAAGAATACAACTAAAATTCAAAGTGAAAATGGACTAAGTGAACTAAATCGATGCTTTAACTAGGGTTGATGTTCATGGAGAAGATCTTGATAGCTAAGGGCGAGTATTAGTGTGAAAAATGAGTAAGAGAGGATTGATGGAAGAAAAGGAAGGCCACTGCTCGGATATATTGAAGAGGAAGAAGGCTGCTACTTCGATCTGTGGAAAAAGAAGATACGGACAAGCTGAGATAGAATCAGATCCAAAGCAGAATAATCTGGATGAGGGGGAGAAAATTAGAAGAAGAAAACTCTGAGGTTGAAAGAGAAGCAAAAGCAAGAAGAACATTTGCAGGAGAGAAGGGATTATCGAAGATGAGGAGGAGAGTAGAGGAATCGGAAGAAGAAAAGGAAATCTGGGAAGTGGAGAAGAATTTGGAAGAAGAAGACTCGGAAGATAAATATTTAGAAGGAGGAAGAAGAGTGGGGGACGAGAAAGAAATCTTGAAGAAAAGAATTTTGGGAGTAGATGAGGGCACAATAGACTTTTCAAAGTATTGTAAAGGAAAGTGAACAAATATTGTGGGATGGCCCAAAAAGGAATACTGGACAAATACTAGGGGACAGAGGGAGTAAAGTAAAAACAGTAAGCAAGACACCAGAATTGTTCACGCAGTTCGGAGCAAATTCTCCTACGTCTGCAAGGCCCACGTCCGTGTAATAACCCTTCCACTAAATCACCGTAAGAATTACACAATCAATCACAACAGAACCTTCTAATGTATTGATTTGTCTACTTACGAATGACTTGACGACAAACTCGGTTTGCGTCTATCTCCACGGCTTGTTACACCTTCTCAAAGATCTTCTTCAAGGACGTAGATTCCAATACACCTTCAAATAAAGATTCTCCTTGATCTACAAAAATATGCAGGCTGTTCAAAAGCTCATAACTCGAGATTGAACCGTTGAAATTCGATCTCCACGAGTCTTAGTCTTTAGACTTCTCCTAAAGTTTCAGCACGATCAGACAAGATTTGGTACTCCAACCATTGAGAAAACCAGGGCTGTGTTTTCTGCAAAAAATCAGCAACAATGTGTAGATTGTAACTTTGATTACAGAAGATCCGTAACTCCGATTGACGTGAAATTTGAACACGTTGAAGCCCTATGTGTTGGGAACACTCTCTGAAAATTTCAGCAAAATCCAACGGTCGGATCTCCGGTGATGAGCAAACCCGTGCGGGCTGTCCAGAAAATTTACAGTCTCAAAATCTGCACCTTGTTTTTCTTTTGTTCGGATTTGCTTCTGGTTTTTCGTAATTTTGCACGTCCAAAACCCTAAGGGAGGGTGAAGATATTAATAGAATAGAATAGCCATGTTAGAGTGTGCTTAGGATTCTCAACCATGACCTCCTCCTTATGAATTGTAAACCAAGTAGGATTAGAATCCAAGTAGGACTAGAATTCTGTCTTCAAGCTCTTTCCTCTTTCTCTTCCTTCACATGCTAGAACTCTAAGTCTAAATAAAACATCTAAAATAATTCTAGGTAAATCTATTCGTTTGTCAAAAAATAATGCCAACACAATATGGAACTAACAGAAAATATACCAAAATAAGAGTTTCATGTTTATATTCCTAAAATAGAAGTTAAAGTACATATGCAGTGTCAATCATGACCACATACATTACTAAAAACTATTGTGAAATGTCCGCATAGAGTGTCACATTAGCACAGTGCAAACTCATATTTGGAGAATAAAAACATGGAGTTTCTATTTTGGTACTTTCTTCATTATTATTCTTATTTAGGATGATTTCTTAAAACTTATTTCTAAAATCACTGTGGTTTCAAAATCTTGCACATGCACTCTCTTTGACCATTTTCTGGTCATTTTTCAGTGAAGAAAAAGCATTGGTCCCTATATTCTAAATCATGTTGGGGGGGTTGACAGAGCTCATTTCTTATTTTTTGTTTATTTTTAATTTTCTTCTTTTTAAACTCTTGTTCATCTCTTTGTCTCCTTTTCGTAGAAAAGCTTTTTAAATTTAATTTCTAATTTTTTATAATAGTTTATAAAGTTCTATATTATTTGTGTTTGAAATAAAAATAAAAAATGAAAAAAGTTTAACATATATTCCATCTATCTCAAGTTAAATAGTATCAACTTTTTATTTTCTATGATAAAAAAATAAAAAGTTCAAAAAAGAAATTCCAAAATAAAAAAATATGGAAAAAAATATGAAAAAAATAAAAACTTATAAAAAATACTCTCATACAAAAAATAATTTTTGGAACAATTTTAAAAAAATCACCTTACATAGGAGTAAAACACATAGAAAGTACCAAAATAGGAGCTCTATGTTTTTATTGTTAAAATAAGAGGTTGTACTGTGGTAATGCGTATATTGACATTTCACAGTACTTTTTGATAGTGTATATGGTCATGATTTGCACTGGCACACTGCATATGCATTTTAACTTTTATTTTGAAAATAAAAACATGGAACTTCTATTACGGAAAAATGAACGGAAAATAATTAGAGGGCCGAGGGTGCATGTGAAAGAATTTTGAAAAAGAAATCTCCCTCGATTGTAGTAAAAAATATGAAAATTCCAAAATAGGAGTCCTAAATCTTTTAAGACCAAAATAGGTATATAATGTTAGTATGGTGTATGAATATGTGTTGGCAGAGTAATGAAAAAGTAATGACAATGTAATATTAGTGTGATCAGCCAATCGTCGGCCATCCGTGACGGCACTCTAGTGGCCGGCGGCGATGGATGGTAGTGTGGCGGGGATAGTGTGGTAGTTACAATGTGACAATGTGGTGAGTGTTGCAGTGTAATAATGACTGTGTGAACTTCTATTTTGATTTTAAAAGACTGGTCACTCCTATTTCGATATTTTCATAGTTCTATACTCTTATCTAGGGAGTGATCTCATTTTGAAACCACAAGAATTTTTTAAATAAATTTTTAAAATAGAGGGATATGGGTGCACATTTTCCAAACCACGGGGACACTAGAGCTATTCGCCCAATGTAGTACTTTGTAATGTTTTTGTCAGAAATGTTACGCAATTCTTTCTTTCAATATCTTTTATTACCTGTATCTTTTTTAACCTACTAGTATTTTTATGCGTGCGGTGTACGGGTTAAACAAAAAAAGTTTATTATGCAAATTTTCTTCTCTTGTTATATGAAATGAGTCGATAAAATATATTTTTAATACGATATATTCCCTCCGTCTTGAAATGATTTACATTTTTACTATTTGAGTCTTTGGCTAATTTTTTTATCATGTGTTTTTATTGCTCATTTGATAAAATAAATTATACTTGTTGAAATCTATTTTGTACAACTTTTGATTTAGTTTTTAAATATGTAATGTGTACTTTTTTTCTATACCAATTTATCAATAAAATTATAACAAAATGAAAATCAAAATAAAAATCAAAAGAATGATATGACATCTAACATGTAGTACTCCCTCGGTCTCAATTTAACAAATGTTTGATCAATGTTCCTTAATAATATAATCATATCCTTTTTTAAAACAATTTTGCGGTTGGAGAGTTTTAAATATTTGATCTCATACAAAAAAATTAATTATTTATGTGTGATATGTTACTATTGGTACATACCAAAGTATTTTTTTAAAGGGAATATTGTCTAATGGAAATTGTAACATCCTAATCTGGCCAGGTCTGCAACCCTATTCGGACTAATGTATAAGTTTGGTTATCGTAAAATTTAAAACAATACTACAACAAGAACTCTACACAGCGGATAAAAAAGGCTTTAGCCATCGCAAAACAACCGTTGTCTGTGCCACCGATGGGAAAGGTCACATATTTACACAACGGCTATTTATCCGTTGTGTAAACATTACACATCAGATAAAAATCCGTTGTGTAAGCTTCACACATCGAATAATAATCCGCTATGTAAAAGTGATAGTTTTTCCATCGTTACATAGACAACGGTTGTTTTGAGCTTTATATAGCGGCTAAAAACCTGATGTGTAATCATGAGAGGTTTTTCATCGGTCTCATAAATAGCCGTTGTTCTCGAAGGGAAGTCATATTTATCCGATGTGTAAAATAGCTAGTTTTGTACTCCATATTTATTTATTTCTTCATTTAATTTTACTGACCACTCTCTCTTCTCTCTTCATTTTCTTCTTCAGTCATTCCTTTTCTGTTTTCTCTCCTCTCTCAATTCTTGCATTCCATTGGATAATCTAGCTTCGCCTCTCTTCATCGTCTTCAATATTCATCCCTTCGTCCATTGCTCTTTTCGTTCAATTATTGAATGTGAAATTTGCAATAAATGGGACTAAAACATAATGACTTTCCTAATCTAGGACTTAAATTTTTTTTATTCCCTAAATAGGACTTATTAATGTCTTAGTGAAAGGAATAATGTCCAGTAATGATGAACATTTACTTGAATAATGACTAATTCATAATGACCAAAAGTCCTACATTGGGAAATAAAAACATATGCTTCTATATTGGGAAAATCATTATCTTTTAGTCTTATTTAGGTAAATTGCTCTTATTGAATTCTATGATTTACTTCTGGTGATTTACACATGATTTGATTTGTTTGTGTTTGTTTTTATTTTTTTGTTATGTTTGTTTCAAATTTTCCTTTTGCTATTGCTTGTACTTGTTGTTTGTATTTGGTGCTTTACCCGTACTATACTGTGTTCCCTTTCATAATTTTGTGCAGGTTGAGCCGGGGGTCTCTTGGAAACAGTCTCCCTACTTCCGAGTAGGGGCAAGGTCTGCGTACACACACCCTCCCCAGACCCTACTGTAGTGGGATTCAACTGGGATATTATTGTTGTTCATTTAAATTTTACTAAAAACAAATTTATTGAAAGAAAAAAAGACAAGTAAAAGTGTCCCAAACACCCAAACGAAGCCACTTAAAAAGTACACTCTAGATCCATAAACAAAGCCTTCTTCAATGACACAAGAAATTCTTATACAAAAAAATGACAGAAACAAGAAAGTTACTTGAGCCCAAAGTATAAGATAACATATGAAAATCAGAAAAGTAGCAAGTTCCTTCTGCAGCTATATAATTTGAAACGAGCAACATCCATAGCTACATAAACTCCAAGATGTCATTTGAACCACACGTAAGTCCATAACATCAACAATATCAACCAAGGTCATCCACATCAGATCCTTAGTATTGCAATAGCTAGACATTGAAATCCCAATCCCAATTAGAGCTTTTTTCACATATGTCTTCACGCCATGTTGGCTATTTAAAAATAGGAACCAAAATCCTGACCTTTATCAACAAAATCAAAACAGGTTCTCAACAACCTAGGACTGAATTAGATAAAAAAAAATTGAGACTGAATGCATCATAATATTTAGAAAAAGAAGACTAATGTCACAGACACTGAGGATGCCATTAGATACTCACCTAAACCTGCTCTGGACCAAATCTTGAAATGTAGTAAACCAAAGCCAAGGCTTGACCTGATCAATAGCTTTTAACTTCCTTAACAAAATAATCCAAGTCATACAGCACATCCAAAGTAGCTGTAAAATAAAAGCATAAAAATACAACTCTACATAATGGGTCTAAATACTATCTTTAAGTTAAAGAGCACACAGAAAGCTTTATTTCACAAAACATATTCAAAGTTGCCTCTAAGCCTGTTATAAATACTATTCGAATGAAAGCATATAATAATGATCAAAAGATAACATTAAAGTTGATTAAATTCAGTTTAAATATTTCTGATTATGATTTTTATATATAAAAACACTTCCATATTAAAATAAAAATGCAGATTCAATTTTTAAACAATTACAAACTTACACTAAAAAAATTACCAAATAAATTAAACAAAAGTCAAACTAATTCAGTTTAAAAAAACTAAACTAGTTCTGAACACTCCAGGTAAGTTAAAGTTAAGAAAATTATACATCCCATAAATATAAAACATGAAAATTAGAAAATTGGCACGATATTGAGAATATTCATTCATGGCCTGAATAAGATTCTAAATTTCTCTATCTAAAGAGTTGGTCTAAAAAATTAATCTCAGAAATCACATGTGCAGTAACCACCCCTTTTGGGGGAAATATGTAATCTAACAACAAATATATTTTAGCTCCTTTGTTCCTAAATAATAAAAAAGACCGTCCAGAAAAGTGACTGAACATGTGAAGAAAATGCTAACTATGAAAAGTGAAGAATGAACTTTGCTGAGTGAAATATGCAGTCATTTCTAAAGAGAAAACAAGCAGAGCGTTATATTTTACCTTTTGAAATTGACAAAAACTGAGAAAACACAGATTTTCAAGCCAAACAAATACTAATGTTGTCTGTGCAAAAAAAATACGAATGTCGTTATCAAAGTGTCTATATTATATACAAATTTGTGAAATTGGCACAAATTGAGATGCTTACATACATACATACCTAGGGTTTACAAGACTTCTGAAAAAACCTTTCACTTGGTCTCTTTCCAATTCAAATACAGAATCACTAGATAAAATAGTGATGATTAGAGTAAAATACATAGAACAGATTAAAGAACAATGAATTCAGTACCTGAGTAGGAATGAAATAGATAGTAGGAGGGAACTTCCGATCACGACGGCGGAGATCGGAGAAGATGATGTGGATCTAGCTTCAGGAGGAGATCGGAGAAGATGATGCGGATCTAGCTTCAGGCGGAGAACGAAGAAGATGATGCAGATCTAGCTTCAGGCGGCGACACTGTAACAGAGGATTGGGATACCTGAGCCGAAGCCGCTTTTAAGAAGACGGCAAGCATGGCGGTGATGATGATGGTAATTCGAACCATATTCAGAGGATGAGAGATTATTTCTTTTCTAATGATATGGAGAATCTGAGAGATATGATTCTTAAGGGTTCCGATTGCGAGAGAGAAACGAGAGAATGGTACTCATACTAAAAGAGCACTAAGTTTTCAACCAATAGAAAGTAATCTAGTCACTGTGGCAAATGAGTGGAGTGTCGTAACATGCAGTGGCAAGTCGTTGTTTTTGTCTATTTTTGCACTTTTTAATGATTTTTAATTATAAAAAATTATTTTAAAAATTTATTTTATTATTAAAATATGTTTACTTCTTTAAAAAAATATTTTTTTCAAAAATTACAAATATTAAAAATATTTTAAAAAATAAAAAATAAGAGAGTCATGCCTTGCACATGGAATGAAAAGTGGGGTGGAATGACCATGGAATTCCATGATTTGTGTGGAATTTGATGACATGGCATGGCAAGGCAAACATTGCCTTGCCATTGTGAATGCTCTAAAGTTTTGAACTGTGAACTTAGATAGCGGGTAATAAAAAATCCGTTGACTAAAATAATAGAAAAAACTGCTTAATTCTATTGGAAAAGCGAAAAGAGGTGGTGCGAAAACTAAGCAAGAGCATTGAAGCCTTATACAACTGTTTCTCTTAAATCCGCTGTTAAAGAGGCGATGGGAAAAGCCTTATGTGTAGTAGTGGTACATTTCAAACACTCTTATTTAACATTAATAATATTATTCATAAAAGAAACAATACAGAGTTTTCAATGTTGCGGAAGCGTAATAAAAATTGTCACATGACAATCACAAATAATTAATTTATGTCTTTTGATATCATAATTCAAATCATCACATCCATTTCGACAATCCCGTTCCATCTACCGCTAGGAACATGTCACATCAGTCCTCATGTTTGATTGCGTGTAGCAAATAAAATATACTACACGCTCAGCGGTGAAGCCGAGTAAGGATATCTAATGCATCGAACATCCACATAAATTGAATCTCAAGTCATAATCAAATCATTTGATATCATGCACATAATATTTAGTTCAAATATTCAATATTCATAGTGTCAACAATGTTCTTAAATTATTCTTAATCTAAGGCCAGATTATTTTGATAACAAGCTATTAAACTATTCTTAGTCTAAGACAATATTTTTAACCAACTCTTAAACTATAATTAGTTTAAGGTACATAATTTTAACCAACTCTTAAACTATTCCTAGTTTAAGGCACAATTCATACTATTTACCAACTCTTAAACTAATCCTAGTTTAAGGTACAGTTTAAAAATGTTTTTCTAACTCTTGAATTACTCTTAGCTTAAGGTACACAAGAAACCGAACGAGTGATCCTCTAATTTGGTTTGTGGATCTTGTACGTACGTTTTTACCCAAGCCACTAGACTTCATATCCGCAAGGCCCAAATTAACTAAGTCATATGAGATCTATCTTAGAGTTTTTCTAGATAGCCTTAACAATACACGTCATTTTCGTAATCATCAATCAAATCAATATATTCATTTTTAATCATGGTTCAATCATTCATAAATTAACAGTTTACTCAGGATATTCATCAAGGTTTAATCATCATGATCAACAATGAATAATATTTATCATAATATTGAATAACAATTAGCGACCTAGCGTCGAGTGTTAACACCCTAGCTTATCGTCATGCATCACACAAGATTCTTGGATTTATCATATCAAAACATGATAGTTATTTCCAGAAATCATTTTCATATTGATCATTATTGAATGGTATCAAAAATATGATTTAGTACTTCAAAAATCAGGTTTTTAGAAAAATTTTGGGTTTGGACGATACCATTACGGTACCTTGGTACCGATACACGGTACCTCGGTGCCGTCTAGACGCTACGGGGTACTGTCCGGTGGTAAACACCGCTAGAGGAAGATTTATTTCCCGTTGAGATGGTAGCTGGCCTACCATTATCAGCAGTACGGCCTACCGTTTCTGGTGGTACGGCCTACCGTTCCGGCGGTACCTAGGTACCGTCCAAGCAGTAGCTTGATACCGTCTCTGTGCGAGTTTGAACTATGTAGTCTTCAACCTCAAGCCAATTTTAGAAAACTTCACTTTTAGTCACCAAACTTCAATTAAACTATATAGAAATATTTTCCAAAGTTCATAGATCATTTTGGTATCATTTCGCCTAGAATGAAAGGTAAGTTCTATCGATCCGTAGTCAGACCTGCTATGTTATATGGGGCAGAGTGTTGGGCGGTTAAGAAGACTCACGTGCGTCGTCTGCATGCGGCGGAGATGCGGATGTTACGATGGATGTGTGGGAAGACAAGGTTGGATAGGGTTTCAAACGAAGTTATTCGACGTCAGGTAGGCATGACACCTGTGGAAGATAAGTTGCGGGAAGCGAGGTTGAGATGGTTTGGCCATGTGAGACGGCGGGATCCTGACGCCCCTATACGGAGATGCGAGAGGATTACAGTTATCGGGGGAAGTAGGGGAAGGGGTAGACCTAGGAAGAATTGGAAGGAGGTGATTAGGCAGGATTTAAGACTTCTCGACCTGACTAAGGATATGGCCTTAGATAGGAACCTTTGGAAAACTAGAATTAGAGTAGCTAGATAGGAGCTTGGTGTTGTAGAGGTTGTTTTGTAGTGTGTTGTATTCGTTTGGAATCTTCTGCTATTGCTTGTACTTGTTGCTTGTACTTGGTGCTTTATCTGTGTTATACTGTGTTCCCTTCCATATTTTTGTGCAGGTGGAGCCGGGGGTCTCTTGGAAACAGCCTCCCTACTTCCGAGTAGAGGCAAGGTCTGCGTACACACACCCTCCCCAGACCCTACTTTGTGGGATTCACCTGGGTTGTTGTTGTTTGTTTGTTTGACTCGAAGTTTTAACAACAATTTCAAGGTTTATGATTTTTGGTTTTTCAAGCACGTCAAACACAAAACTCAACCAAACGATAGTTTATGAACGTAGAAACGATCTATACCAACATTCTAATCACTAGATTTATCTAAGAGCTTACCTTGGGCTTAAACGAAGGTTTTGGAGAAATTCTAGTGAAACTTTCAGTGAAATTGTATCATGATATCGGAGTTAAGGTCTATCTTCCAAAAGAACCTAGCCCCCCCTTCTTTTACGAGTGTGTTTCCAACGCCGATCTTCATCATCGACGGTTGACTACCACAATCATGGCCTCGCCATTCCTTATTCCTCGTTTTTATCCCAAACAATTTATGAGCATGCCTAAAAATTATTGTCTCATATCCTTCTCTATGTCCGTACGTCTCACAAAAACATAATGTGCGTGATTGAAAGATTATAAAGTTGCATTTGTCTTTGTTTCTTCTAGAGTTTGAAGCATGGAAAGCGAGATAGAAATTACATAGAAAACAGCTCACAAGACGAAAAATAGAATGTCTTTACCCTCATTCTAATCGCAAATACACCCCGTGTAAAAAAACTTAGCGAATTACTCATAAACTTGTTCGTCAGACAATAAAGATCTACCTCTCTATTATGAGGATAATGAGAAACAAATATTATTATTAGCTACTTTCTTTATTATATTGCTTTAATAATTATTATTCTAATATGATTATGATTTTTCTTGTATTCGCTATATATATATATATATATATATATATATATATATATATTAATATAATATAATCTTTCATAATGAATAAGATTAATTATTATCAAACTATATCAAGAATACGTACACACATACTCTCTCAATATATAAAATTATGGATGAAAAGCCCTTATTAATATAAGTATCACACAATATATAAATGCTAAGGTACAAATAAGGTTTAATTACATTGATTCCGGGCTAGGTAGAACAAAATGAATTCACATTTATGAAGTAATGGAACATCATGCATGACTTCCTCCCCTGCTCATTGTCCACGCTAAGTGGATGCATTCCCACCTAGCTAACTTTATTAATCCAATTTCAAAATACTTTTTAATAAGCACATACATAAAAATTATATATTTGTGTATTCAATTAATTAATTTTTCTGAAGGAACTTCTTCATCCATATAGCAGATTTTTTGGGATATCTTTTTAGGCCGTTTTTGTAATCTATAAAGTTAAGACCAAATCTGCTTGTGTACCCTGAGCTCCATTCATAATTATCAAAAAATGACCATGCAAAGAAGCCTTTGACATTCCCACCCAACCTACAACAACAATTAACATTAAGTCAATAATAACAACAATAATGATTAGATCAAAAGATTTAAAAATAATAAAACATAATAATAGTGTTGCAAAAAATAGTGTCTTGTTTAATTAAGTTTTTGTTTTTGCTTACTCCATTGCGTCTTTGAGGGCGGAAATGTGGCTACGGTAAAACTTAACCCTTTGAATGTCATTAACTCCTTCCTGAACGGCTGAAGTGACATGCAAGCTTGACATCCCTAATAATAAAAAATTTTAAATGATTAAATTATGATCGAGTAAATAAAAATGGAATAAAGTATTCTCTCAGCAGTTACGTCTAGTTTCATTAGCATGCAATTAATAATAGAAATATTTGGACTAAATAGCACTAAAACTTAAGTCATTTTTCTAAATAGCACTAAAATTATTTTATTCCCTAAATAGCACTTAATAATGTCCAATAATGACGAATATTTACTTGAATAATGACTAATGGATAATGACTAAGAGTGCTACATTGGAAAAAAAACATATGTGATGCTATTTAGGGAAAGTCATTATGTTTTAGTATTATTTAAGTAAATTTTCTTTAATAATAACTGCATATATATACATACCACACTCGGTAATATAAATGGTAGGATTTTTGTAGTTCTGTTTTGTGTAAAGAAGCAGCTTTTTAAGTCCACTTGGAACAACAAAAAATTCTACTGAGCCCGTCTGCAAACAACAACAACCACAATAATAATAATAACAACAACAATAATCGTAATTTAATACGAAGGTAATAATAATAATAGTAATAGTAATAATAATAAAAGTAAAACATATTTAGGGATATAGGAAATGTTGTTAAATTGTTACAAGTGAATGTTAACACACTCACCGCTTCACCAATGAGCTGCCCATCCTTCTTTGCTGTCAATGAGGATAAGAAAACATTTTTTTAAAACAATATATAAACCAATAATTAAGTAGAGACTATTCTCTTTGTTCTTATATATAGTATTCTTTATCTAGTTTAATTTACAATTTACAATTTTATCTTCAAAATAATTTTAAAATCAGTACCGAAACCAAATCAAAGTTACTGTATATATTAAAAAAATATAAGCAAACATGTGGAATTATGAAAGAAACTATTGTTTATTTGTTGCATGAATGAATTAATTAATGTGGGAAATGAAATGAGGGAAGATTAGTTACACGTGAGGTTGGCTTGAGAATCAAAGGTGTAGCTGATATTGACTTTGTTAGGAGAGGAAATGTAAGAAGCATATCTGGCCGTGTAGTAATTGAGTCCGAGAAAGTCAAAAGATCCTTTGACCATCTCTGATTGGTCGGGAGTGAACTTTGGTAATCTCTCTCCAACTAGACTCCTCATGCTCTTTGGATAATCGCCATAGGTTAATGGATGCAATGCCCTTTCATTTAGTAAATTTATTAATTTAATCATAAATCCAAACATGATATTAAACACAATTATACTCCCTCCGTTCAAATTTAAATCTTTTGTTTTTGTTTATGAGGTTTGACTGAAATTGTTTTCAATGTAATTTATTTGAATATTGATATAGAATTAAAAAATAAAATCTACAAATTTAAAAGCTACATTAAAAAATCTACAAAATAAGAGGTAATAAGTAAAGAACGTGGTTAAAGTTTGACACTGTGAATATTAAACACGCAATTTAAATTGTGACGGAGGGGTAATAATTTAATGTTTAATCAAATTAAATATTTTCGTATTTGTAATTATCTTTTACAAAGAGAGAGAGAGATTATATCCTTACCATCCTAACATGAAATCAATAGCTTGTTGAGCCGCTTTTTTGTCTTCTTGGGTAGAGGAATATGGCTCAAACCAATGAGACACCAACACAATTCCTATTTCCCCCTTTTGTATTGCCTATATTTAATTATTTCATTACTTTTAACTTTAGTTCATATATAAATTAAAACACACGTACCACTAGATACAGAACTGAAGAGATAGGAATACTTTTTTCCGTCCTTAAAATATAATTTTCTCATTCTTTTTCCGGCTCAATTTTTTTTTACTTTTTATTAAAGAATCATTTTTACTTTGTAAAAACAAATCAATTTCATTCCAATTATAATTCTTACCATATCAATCACATTATATCCATTAACTACTAGTATATATGTCACATCAAACATAATTTAGGAAAGTCAAAATAAAAATATGTTTTCCCAACTTTATCTGCATTGAATTCTTGGAGTGTTGATGTTGAAGACATTTGGCTAGTATGCACCTCCTCTCTGGAATCTGTTGATCATCTACTCAATCTTATTAATTCTGCTCCCTCGCTATTGCGGTACGTTTTGCATTCACTAAAGAGATGTCATTTTCTATTCGGTTTCTTTTACTTTTGTTCATCGTGAGCGTAATGTTGTTGCATATACACTCGCGCGACAAGCTGAGGCTCAATGTGATGTTCGGATTTGATTAATGGAAGTTTTTTTACCTTCAAATTTAAAAAATCCTTCCCCAAAACTTAATACGGAGTATAATAAAATTCAAAATGGTAAAGAGGTTTTGGGACAAAAGGAGTATATGAAATGTAATACTTTCTTCGTCCCAAAACAATTCATGTTTTGGCAACATGAAAAATCTAATCTATTTTAAAATGGATTTATTTACAAATCGGTATAGAAAAAAATGTACAACTTATATATTTAAAAACAATATTAAAAGATCAACAAAACTAGCTCGTAGTGACAAGAATATTTTATTTTATCTAATGACTAATGAAAAAAGATACGTAAACAAAAGATATCAGAAGACTATAATAATATAATAATCCCTCTTTCTTAAATTTAAATTGTCATTTGACTTTTTATGGTCTCCAATGCAATATATTGACCATTAAAATCTCTATTTGTACATAAAATCTCTATTTAAATGAGAATTCAACATATTTTTCCGTGATATTAGGTCAAAGTTCAAAACGTTTGACCAGGAAAGTCAAACTGGAGAGTTAATTTTAGAATAGGTGGAGTAAATCAAAATAGTTTTTTTGGAACGGAGGATGTATTTAAGTATTTTGGTCATGAATATTTGCGTAATTATGCACAAATGAAACTAATAAATGCATTATTTTCTCCTCATATTTATCGACTTCATCTGTCCCTAAAAACCTTTCTCCTATCTTTTTTTCATTTCTCCCAAAAAATTCTTCTCATTTCTATTAAAAAGTTATTTTTACTCTTACTAATTCTTAACCTACTTATCATATCACATTTATTCACTGCTAATCTACTCATCAAATCCTACTTTTATATATCACATCCAAGGACATTTTAGGAAACTCAACACTAAAATACACACTCTCCTTAAATTCCTTCAAAATTAAAATATCCCATGTTTTGAGATACTGAGGGAGTAATACGTAACACCAAATTCATGACACAACCTAATTCTAATGCGAATAATTAGAGGAATTTACTTAAATAGCAGCTCCGTTGTTAATGCGGAGTAGCTGTACTTTAGCTTACTTGATATTTCTGCTTGTAAAGCCTTGCGGCGGCAGCATGGGCAAGAAGGATGTGATGGGCAACAATGTATGGTTCGGTGGCAGAGTCGCCGCCAAGGCATCCGATGGCGGAGTTCATGAACGGCGAGCAGCGGCCGGGGGCGAAATCGCCGGAGTCATAGCCCTTGGATGCGAAAGTCCATGGCTCGTTAATGCTTGTAAACAGCTTCACCTTCTCTCCAAATTCTCTAAAGCAAAGATCTGCGTAATCCCTAAAGTCATCCCTGCATCCATGCACACACACACACACACACATATATATATATATGTATATGAATATATATGCCCATTATTCTTCATTCGTTCCACTTGTTTTTTTTTATTGTTACTCCTTTTTTAAAACACATTCTATGACTTTTGACAAATTTATTTTTTAATTTGACCTTTCAATTATTCCCGCTATCCTTTTTTTCTTTGGATTTCGAGAAGCGTGCAAAATCTTACTACGTTTCTTTTTTAAAATTGTTTTTATTCACAAATTAGTATTTTGTACAAATGACAATGTTTAAAACTACATTAGAAGTTCTACAAAAGAAAAAACGTGGTGAGAATATTTATTTTATCAAATTTATTATTGAAAATACGCAAAAAAAACATAAGTTATTGAAAGATCATAATAATAAAGTAAGATGATGAAAAGAAATCCTTGATATTCATCTTCCAATGCTTGAAACAAATTAAGTATGATGGACATACACAATTAGAGGGCTGAGAAATCCTTGATATTCATCTTCCAATGCTTGAGGAACGTCCCAATGAAATAGGGTTACCGTAGGTATTATACCTGTTGCAATCATTATCAAGTCTCGTTCCTGAATTTATATTTTTGAAAGCGTGTTTCCTGATTGATACTCCTTATTTCATTAGCTATATATACGTCAAATGAGTATATTATTAGTAAAAAGGTATGATGTGATAGGTAGGGTATGAAAAAGTAAGGAGTTAAAGTGACTTTTTAATAGAAATAAGAAGTGTTTTTTGGGACGGATGAAAAAAGAAAGAAGAAATGTTTTCAGGAACGAAGGGAGTAAAAGCATGCAGAATAATAAACACTCGCTCCCTGATCGAGTATCAGTGTATCACCATGCCACTTTTCTTTGAAAAGTCTATTTTAATCTATTATTTCTTACTTTATCTATCACAACATATATATTCAGTACTCATCTACTCATTAAATCTTACTTTTATTCATTATATTAAAGGATAAACTAAATGTTTTTTCAAATACACTCTTTTTAAATTTGTCAAAAATCAGTATGAGAATCATTTTTAGAACCGAGGGAGAAGAAGCTGGCATATAGGGTTAAATTAAAGAATTTGGGCCTGGGCGTTGATGATTATGTACTCCATATATTTTGAAATGGATGAGGTAGTATACCTTAAAAAAATACATTGAGATGTCACTATGCAATATCATATCATAGTGCAAACTCTTATTTTGATGATAAAAATCAAACTCTTATTTTAAAGATAAATGTTATGAGTATATTTTTCTTTTATTTGAAGCGATTTCTTATGAAATACTTCCTCCATCTTAATTACGAAATTCTATACATATTGAATTTTTTTGAAAAAGTTTATAAACTTTGATTAAAAAAAACTAGAGCAATAGAAAAGTATATAATTTAGAGCAATAGAAAAGTATAATGTAAATTTAAAGCTCATAAAAATATAATTCATGATTTAGTTATGATATACCAAATGATATAAAATTTATTTATTTGATTTTTTTTATTAATGATCAAAGTGCATAATGTATAGTTTAATCAATAAATCAAATTGTAAAAAATTCACTCCGTATGTAACATATGAAGTACTTCGTAGTTCCTAGTATATTAGGGAAGAGGAATATCATAATTCATACTCCCTTCATCCTCAAAAACAATTCATCTTTTATTTTTTTCACTTCCAACAAAACACTTCCACTTTCTATTAAAAAAACTTACTTTTACCCGTATTCTTTTACCATACTTATTACATCATACTTTTTTTCTAATAATCTATTCTCACATCTTATTTTTATCAATCACATCAAGGACAAAATTGAAAGTCAACTATTATATAACACTTTCTTATTCTCACACTTGGTCAAAATTAGAACTTTTTTTAAGAACTGAGTATCATTCTAAATTTGGGAGGGACGTGGAATATCATATCACTCATACCATTTTTCTCAGCTTTCAAAAGTAGTACGGAGTAATTCTCTAGGTCCTTTTCAACGATAGTAGCTAAGAGTAAGTATTTTCCATTTATGGCTTACCGTTTGCAATGAGTTCATCAATTAGATTCTTGTAGAAGGCAATACCCTGTTGATTGATGCCTTTGCTCACCTTTCCATCTGAGAATTTAACAAATTATAGTTAATTGAGTTTGGAAACTCATTTTTTAAATCTAAATTTTATTTATAATTTCACAAAATTCATAATTCGAAACTATTAATACAGGAGTTATGTTAAGATAATCACACAATTTTGATAGAGAAATTTACCTAAATAGGACTAAAACATAATGACTTTCCTAAAATAGAACCATATGTTTTTATTTTCCTATATAGGACCTTTGATTATTATCAATTAGTCTTATTTAGAGAATAAAAAAGTTTAAGTCTTACATTGGGAAATGACTTATGTTTTAGTTCTATTTAGTGCAAGTTTCACATTTTGATACTATATACAGAGTATCATTCATCTCATACTTCGCACAAACAGCACAGACAATAACTTTCGATGCGCCACCGACATTTATTATTTGTGCATATTTTTATAAAGCATGAAGTCAATGATGATTTCAAAATTATGGGATTATCCTCGCTTTTTTGTTAATACATCCTCGACTTTCACCCTGAAAAGCAATTCAAAAGGATACATGGAACCTCTACATGTACTAGGCACAGGAACCGAGTCCTACACCAACTGACTGAGATTATAACTTAATTTATCTTTTTTCAACTAATTGTTCGACACGCGTTAATGAATATCAGGAGTGGGTTCATCCTTTTTTCTTTTTTGAAAAGCAATTCAAAAGGGTACATAATTAAATATCCATACTTACATGGCAAAATTCGAGACCAAGAGATGGAAAATCTGAAGGCATCCATTCCCTCATATTTCATCAATTTTATGTCTTCCTACAATTACAATGATTCCAATAAAATTTGAATGAGATTTTGAATGCATTATGCCTTGCAGTGATCAGCTGTGGCATTGTTCTTGCATTATTTTGACTATAATATTTTTTTAAAATACGGAGTATATAATATTAGTAGAAAAAATGAATAAACTAATATTTTGGGAATGTAAATCAAAACAAGTTAGTTTTTGGGTTAAGTGCTTTCAAGATTCCTATATTTTTTGAAAGTGCTTCCAAGTCCCAGAATTATTATAAGTGCTTACTAGATCTTTATATATTTTTAAAAGTGCTTCATAGTTCTTTAAATTATTTTTAGTTCCTTCCAGGTCCATATACTTTTTAACTTGTGCCTTAGTAGTCCTTTCGGTGGCTTTTGTTCAGTAAGTGCTTACTGAACGACGTTAAGACACGTACTAAATAATTTTTCAAAATGGTCATTCCTAATTAAGTAAATTCTCAAATTGGTCCATTTTTAAGATAAAATTAATTAATTAAATTTGAAAAAATAATTAATTTTAAGTTGTATAAGATGACAATATAATAAATAAAGTATAATGTAATTTTATAAATTAGAAAGTAAACGTTTCACATTGTTTATAATCATTTAGAAGAATATCATGCAAATAAAAAATTTAATAGTTATAAATGTAATTTATTTGCTCTCCCTATTTTGGACTAAGGCTCCTGTTTTTGTTCACGATGTGTGGCAGAAGTTATTTTAAAAAAATTATAACAGAAAATTTGTCTAGACCTTAAAAGAACATATATTCAAAAACATACACAAGAAATTCTACAAAATAAGCGGTGATATGATTACAAAAAAGTGGTGATATAACTATTTTTTAAAAAATGTTTGATGAAAATGTACATATTAAGAAAATATATATTTTTTGACACTTTGAATTGTAAACATGAGCCCTATTTGAGGACTAATAATCTAATATAGTACTTCCTCCGTCCTTTTAAACATGGGATGTTTTGATTTTGAAGAGATTTAAGAGGAGTGTATTTTGATATTGAATTTCCAAAAATGTCCTTTGATGTGATGGGTAAAATTAAAGTAGGATTTGATCAGTAGATTATTAGTAAAAAGGTATGATGTTGTGATAGGTAGGGTATGAAAAAATAAGGGGTAAAAGTGACTTTTCAATAGAAATAAGAAGTGTTTTTCTTTGTTTCCAAAAAAAAGTGTTTTTTGGGACAAATGAAAAAAGAAAGGAGAAAAGTTTTCAGGGACGGAGGGAGTAATATCTAGTCATAGTAATTCCATAACTACTGAACTCAACTTTACATAAATATAAAATTTATATTTTATTTCTATAAAAATTATTAGTTCAAAAACTGAATCTCAATTCAAAATATTCTTTTCGTCACAAAATAAGACTCATGTTATTTATGTTAAAATAAGTTCGATCAAACATCACAATTAGAAGTTGGATTCTAATTTCAAAATGGATGGAACCGTTTATTAAAGATCTATTTACATGATATTTCTCTAAATAATTTGAAATATTTACTCTCAAATTTACTAAATTGTATATATATAGTTTTAATTATTATATTCTCATCCTAAGAAATATAATTATTTTTTCATATTTAATACGTTTTTATTTTAAAAAATGAACTAATTTAGGAAAATACCCCATTAGAAAGGATCATTTTGAAAAATTAATAATTATATAAGTGTGATCGTTGTTTTGATCTCGTTAGTCGGGTAAACTAAACTGAACATTATTCTCAATTGGCGAGTATCATCTTGTCATCTTGATAATATGTTCATTTTGCAAACTAATTTGAGAAAACACGTAATTATTAAATGTGATTTTGAGAATGTATTCTTCATTTAATACTATGCAAAGAATATACTACCTGCGTCCTTGAGTATTTGTCCAGTTTTGATTTATTTCAGTCAACCATTTCGAACCTTTGACTCGTAATTAAATAAAATATATATTGTATATTAATTAGATAAAATAATATTTAAAAAATAATTTATATAATAGATATAATAAAATTATTTTTATTTCAATATCTAATTATATTTCTATTTAATTTGAGGTAAAAATTTACCACTTTTGACAAGAAAAAGTCAAAAGTAGATAAATACTCAGAGACTGATGGAATATGTATAAAAAAAATTAATTTAACGAGTTAATCACATGCATACCTTGTATCGATGATAAAAGTCTATTGCAATGTCACCGGTAGTGTGGTCCGAAATTCTCTCTAGCCATCCAAAAATAATATTGACGTATCAATTGATCGTGGTGGGATGGATATATTGATATTTAATTTGCAAAACACCATTATTTAATTCGTAAAACACCAATTAATGTAGAGTACATGAGATCATTTTTGTTCGCAAAATGAAATTAATATGATTTTTTTATGCATTGAGCTGATCGAGATAATTTATTAGGTAAATAATGTTGAATGCTCCGAAAAAACGAGACAAATATATATTGGGGAGTGCTTGGAGAATCCTACTTTGAGTACACCAAATTTACAAGGCAAAAATAGGTATACATAGACATTCAATGTTTGTGCATGCACAATCATTAAATGTCTATATGATACTATTTTTGTCTTTGTATATTTGGTGTATCCAAAATGAGACCCCCACAACATTTTTCATTTATATTAATTACCTGAATGGTTTCTAGAGTAGGTGTCCCAAATACTCGGTCCCCTGCCATCTTTATTTGCAGCCCCTTCAA